TATTGCTTTCTTAAGCAAAGAAAAAGCACAGAGGACTTCTGTCCCACAGGCTGTGATTCTGCCCATCAGCAGAAACAAGGGGCTTCTAAAGAGATGATTCAAAGGCTACATTGCACGTGTTCTCTGTTGGTGTTGTAATAAATACACTTAATTTGGGAGACAGTCATTTCTGAGATCTTCTGGTACTGCCTGGATGACTTCCTTCCTATGGTGAGTGTGCACTCAGGGAGAGAGAATTCTGCCAAGGATGGAGAGGGTGATCCTGTTTTCCCTGAGATTAGGGAGGGGGAGAGATTAGGAAGCAGCAGAGAGAGAGGAAGAGAAAGAAACACGCCCATTTTAAAAATAAGTGGCAGTGGCAGAACAGCAGGGGCTATTTTCAAAGCATAAAGTGAACCACTGTTACAGATATAGATTATGTGTGTTTATTATAACTATTATTATTACTTTAGATTTTCAAGCCCAATTTTTTAATCATCAGAGCAGCATGGTTTGGCATGCCAAGTGTTTGAACATATATGATTATTTTTACTTAAAGATGATGATCATAATATAATTCAGAAACGACAATATAAACCTGAAAATAGGCTACCATTGTTAATAATTTTATTTTGGAAGACACCAGTTTTTGCACTTTAGAAGGTAAAAAGTATATTTAACATTCAAAAGCCAGTAATAATTAGCATCATAATTATGCAGAAGTTGTAATGGCAGAGAGGCAAGGGCTATATTCACAGTATAAAGTAGACCAATGTTAGATACCTTCTTTAACCATGCCGTTATTTTTCTGAATGGAAATGTCTACTTCAAACCTTTATATATTGGATACTTGTAAATTGCTTTTGAATTTTATAGGAACTCAGGCTGAGAGTTTGTCTTGAGTCTCAGAGGAGACTTTATTACTGAGCTGGGGACTTCTTGGAAACTAAGGCAGCAAAAAGCTCCCCTCTTCAATTGCTGATTTTTAAAAAATGTTTAGTCATAGATGGACACAATATCTTTATTTTATTTATTTTTTTAATGTGGTGCTAGTGGGGAGCTGGGGACGTGGCTCAAGCAGTAGCACACTCACCTGGCATGTGTGGGGCACTGGGTTCCATCCTCAGCACCACATACAAACAAAGATGTTGTGTTCACTGAAAACTAAAGAAAAAAAAAAAAAAGAAAAGAGAAAAATGTGTTGCTAGTGGTCAAACCCAGTGCCTCACAGATGCCAGGCAAGTACTGTACCACTGAGCCACAACCCCAGCCCTGTCAATTGCTGATTATTGCAGTCAAGTCAGAAAGATTTCAGACCTGTCACTCAAAGTAACAAGAATGAATTATTGCAGGAAAAGGGAAAAGGGGACACTCTCAAGGGATAGAGTAGGCGCTTTTGTTGTAGGGACAAACGAGGCAAGACACCAAAGAGAGCAGGAAACAGTTTTATTTGGCTGCAGCCAGGTTCAGAGGGTACAGCCTTTGCTGTAATCAATCAATCCCCTGAACCCCGAGTTCAGGGAGGTTCAGAGATTTATACCAGCATGTAAGGGAGGAGCTCAGAAGTTCACAGTCTGCAGAAGTTCACATAAAAGCAGCTTTTTCTTTCACTGTTCTGGGCAAGTTAACTCTTCAAGGACAACACCTGAGAAGGGGAGAGCCTCTTCTCCTCTTTCTTTCCTCCCCCTGCCAGCTGTTACCATTTGTAACATCTTAAAAAACGTAGACCTCTCTGTGAAGCCCAGCTCAAGGCCAGAGGCCTTGTTTGCACATTTCTTCAAAGTACTATAGTGGATACGTTTGTGAAAAACTAGTAAGGGGGTGTCCAGCACCTAGAGTGCTGGTATCTTCTAGTCCAGTGGCCAAGTAAACAGGGCAACATGAAAATAGCAAGTTTATCTACAATGGACTCTTGCTGATAGTCCTAAAATCAGCCATGGTGAAGAGGACTTTTCTGTGGAGAAAGGGGTGCCACTTCACTTTCAGAGAGGAGAGAGACAATATGCTTTTCCCACACTTAAGATTTTTTGGGGGGTGAGGGATCCCAGGGAAGTTTCCAGAAAGTCCCACTCAGGTCTACCTCTTGACTTTTGACTGACAGTAACATGACATCAAGCTTTCAAGTTCACACTGTTATGACAATTCTTTGTCACCTTGGCTCATGCTGAGCAGTTCCAATTGGATTCTTACTAATTTTCACAGGTTTTACAGTTAGGAGGAATTATCCTTATATTCTAAGATCCAGTGCAAGAAAGGGGTCATAAAAATCTCTCTCTTCAAAGTAACTTGGGTTCCTCTTATTTCTGCCTGAATTTCCTTGCAGATAATAGGTAGTTTGCTGAGGAATGTGACATAGCCTTTTCACTTAGGCCAGTCAGAGTTGCAGGTAAATTGCTTTTTGGCAAAGAAAGCATGCAGAGGGTCAGCACAGTTAGCTCATATAGAATTATTCCCTTAACCTAGTGTTCCCACGTCCTCATCTGTCTAACAACTTTGGCCCTGAACTTTTGGGCAATCTTGGAACTGTTGAAAATATGGAGACTCTTGAAAATGACCTAACTGTACTTTGCATTGTGATATAGGCATAAGCTTCTGTGGGCCAGGGACATAATATTAGGGTATGGATGTGATGCTGAATAAAAATAGTCAATGGTCAGCAATCAGAAATGATGTGCCCCAATTGAGGTCTTGCTAAAATGCAAATGCCACACCTGGAAGCTAACACAGAAATGTCAATTAGCACCCTGAAGCCGTATTTCAAATGCAAAAGGCTATAAGGCTCACCTCTGAGAACAATTCCTCTGTCCCAGGAGGTGAAAAGGATTAAAACTCAAAGACCAGAGTTTTGTTGGTGTTTTCAATGCCTGTTTTACATTAAAACTCAAAGGCCAGAGTTTTAATGCTGTTTTCAATGCCTATTTTACATAAAGTTTGTTGTTTGTTTCATGTCTAACCAGAACCATATAATTTCCTAAATCAATGCACCTAAACTTTTGTTGTTTTTCTTTTGGTCTTTGGTCCCTTCCCACATGGCAGGATTTCTATTTCTTCTCCTTTAAATAAATCCTGCTCCATTTACTCTGTTTTAAAAATATTTTTAGTTGTGGATGGACACAATACCTTTATTTTATTTATTTGTGTTTCTGTGGTGCTAGGATGGAACACAATGCCTCATGCATGCTAAGCAACTGCTCTACCACTGAGCTACAACCCCAGCCCCTCCATTTACGGTTGCCTTCCATTATTATGCATAGATTAATTTTTTTTGTAGTTGTAGATGGATAGAATGACTTTATTTTATTTGTTTATTTTTATGTGGTGCTAAGGATTGAACCCAGTGCCTCACATGTGTGAGGCAAGCACTCTGTCACTGAGGTATAGCCCCAGCCCTTGTGCATGAATTTTGTTGTTCAGATTTGTGATACCAAAACCTAGAAGGAAATTGGTGAAAAATCTAGTCTCATCTCAAAACTCTGTTTTTTAGGTGTCCCCCAAAAGCTTATGTGTAAGGAAATGTAAGAACATTCAGAGGTAAAATGATTGATTTATAAGAGCCTTCACCCAATCATTGAATTAATACTCTGGTGGGGATTAATTGAGTGGTAATTGTAGGCGACAGGAGGAAATGGGTATTGGGGGCATGGCCTTGGGGTACATATTTGTATCTGGCAAGTGGAGTCTCTGTCCTTTCTGATCATTATGTGAGCCCCTTCCCTCTGCCACACTCTTGTACTATGATACTCTGTATCATCTTGAACCCTGAGGAATGGAGTTGGCTGTTGATGGACTGAGATGTCTGAAACCATGAGGCCCAAATAAACTTTTCCTCCTGTAAAATTGTTCTTTTCAGGCCTTTTAATCAAGCAGTGAAAAAGCTAACTAAATATGAGTAGTGATGCATGCCTGTAATCCCAAAGACAAGGGAGGCTGAGGCAGGAGGATCAAGTTTGAGACTAGCCTCAGCAATTTAGTGAGACCCTGTTTCAAAATAAAAAGTAAAAAGGGCTGGGAATGTGGTTCTGTCGTAAACGTTTTCTGGGTTCATTTACCAGTACTCGGGAAAAAGAAGGGAGGAAGGGATGAAGGGTGGACGGAAGAAGCTGGGTACAATGGCACATGCCTGTAATCCCACCTACTTGGGAGACTGAGACTGGGGGATCATGAGTTCAAAGCCAGTCTTATGGAAGTCCCAAGCAAAATAAAAAAGGGCTGGGGATCTGGGGCTCAGTGGTTGAGTCTCCCTCAGGTACTTAGTGAGATACTGTCTCAAAATAAAATGAAAAGTCGGAATGGGGATTGAAATGAAATTCCTTGCATATATTGTTTCATCAAAATGTATGTAAAGGGCCTGGGGATGTGGCTCAAGCAGTAGCACGCTCGCCTGGCACGTGTGCGGCCTGGGTTTGATCCTCAGCACCACATACAAACAAAGATGTTGTGTGCGTCGAAAACTGAAAAATAAATATTAAAAAAAAGTAAAATAAAATGTTTTTTTTAAAAAAAGAACAGTTTGCAGTGTGAGGAAGAATATTAGCATTCATTAAATTGCTGTTGTTTTATTGTCATTAAGTATTCAGTATTGAAAAGGTCAGTTCCTGTGTGAAACAATGCAAGAGGGTCTATGTGTTAAATGATTGGGTTATGAGAGGTGTAGCCTAATCTGTGTATTAATTCCTGATGGGCTTGACTGAGTTGTAACTGAAGGTAGGTAGGGTGTAGCTGGAGGAGATAGCATTGGTGGTGTTATTTTGGGGTAAGTATTTTGTTTTGGGGCAGTGGTGCACATGTAAAACCCTATGAATTCGGGATGGTGAGGCAGGAGGAAGGTAAATTTGAGACTAACTTCAGGAACTTAATGAGGCCCTCTGTCAAATGCAAAGTAAGGAGCTCTGGGGATGTGGCTTAGAGGTAAAGCGCCTGTGAGTTCCATTCCCGGTAATTGAAAAGAAAACAAAGACTCAAACAAAGGGTCTGCCCTCTCCTGTGGCCATGCCGCGCCGCCCCCGGGCTGGAGGCTGCCCCTACTCTGGTCCCTCGCCATCTTTTCCAGCAAGTTCAAATCCTGCCCTCATAATGCTAGAGGTCTGCGTCAGGCTGCGGGAAGAAGAGGTCGCCTGGTGAGGGCCACCTACCTTTCTTCCGTCACTTCGTCACTTAGGGGAGCTGGTCCCTCGGTCTAGGTGCCCGGTCAGGAAGAGCAGGGACTGGACACCTCAACCACCACCCTCGTGTTCGGCAGAGTACGACGCGTCCATGGGAATTTCTGCGTCGAAGGCTGCCCTCGGGGCTACCACCGATGAGCCCACTGAACCAGAGCCAAAACACCTGGCTGGTGAGTAGGGAGGGTGGTGGCAGACTCTTGGAACACACCCCACAGGCCTCCACAGGATGGTGATCTTCCGTTGAGAATAGACGGGGACCACCGGCGTTTTTAGCACCGGATTGTAAAATATTTAGAATAACTTAGACACAAGGGGATAGTGGAACGCCAACTCAGACTTCTTAGAAGTATCTTAATTCTCAAATTCACGCCAGCCCCTTTAAAAAACTCTGTTTAACATTTGTGACTAAAGGTCAAGAATAGGCCTGAAGCTGTCCGGGTAGCAGATTTCTGCTCTTGTGTACGATTTTACAGGGAATGTTCATGTTTGAACTCATCCGTACTACTTTCCATTTTCTTTATTTCTCTTCCTCCCTCCCTTCCTCGCTGCCCCCCACGCTGCCTCCCTCACTGCCTTCCTTCTTTCCCTTCATTCCTTCTTTTCTTTTAGTGAGGATTGAACCCAAGGGCACTTTGCCACTGAGCCCTATCTCCACCACTTTATATATTTTTTGTTTAAATGTTCAGGTAAGGTCTAACCCAGTTCCAGAGGGCCTCACTAACTTCATGAGGCTACCCTGAAACTCACATTTCTCCTGCCTCAAACTCCCATTCCCGGAATTACAGGTGTGCACTACCACACCTACCTAAATCACTATTCTGATAACCCTTTTCATTGAGACATTTTCCTTACAACTTATTCAACGGCTTAATTTGTATTTGACTACTGAAGTTTTATCAAATAATTATATTTATGCATGTGCTATAGAAACTCACAGTTTAATAACTTTTTTTGTATGTGTCTAGTATTGGGGCTTAAATCTAGAGCTTTTTCCTTGCAACACAAGCATTCTATAAACTCAGCCATATCCCCAGCTCCAGTTTACTAACTTTAGCAGACCGATTTAAACATTTTTGAAAACTCTATCAACCATGATTCCAGAAACACCATACAACACATTTTAAAGAAATATAGTATATTTAATATACTATATATATTTATTTATACTATATTTAAATATACTATATTTATCTAATCCTTGACCATTATAAAATATATACCAGAATTGGCTCCTCAAGAATTAAAAGTTTGGGAAAAAAAAAGAATGAACAACCACTACCTATAATAAATAGGCACAAAACAAGGACACTTGACTTACCACAATAATAGCTTAAAGATTTATGCAAGCACACTGGAATCCTGCTCAGTGGTAGAGCACTTGCCTAGCATACATGACACACTGAGTTCAATCATCAACACCACATAAAAATAAAATAAACATATTGTGTCCACCTAAAAACTAAAAAAAAAAATATTTGAAAAAGAGAATCATGTAGGCTGAAATCATGTCAAAAAGGAAACAACCCTCAACAATAAACTTTATAAGGACAAGAAAGAAACAGACTTATACAAAAATTTTTAAAAAAGCACACAACAAACACAGACCATATACTCTTACTGAGTACATGAATCTAGGTCTACATTAAGGGTCAGCATATTGCTTCAATGAAATAACACAAGTTCAAATACTCTCCTCTTCATCTATCCCAGTATTGTGCATATAAAAACACCAATAAGGGGCTGGGGATGTGGCTCAACCAGTAGCACGCTCGCCTGGCATGCATATGGCCCTGGTTCAATTCTCAGCACCACATACCAACAAAGATGTTGTGTCCACCGAAAACTAAAAGATAAAATATTAAAAAAAAAAGCTATCAATGAATAGGGACTACAGATCAATGTATTTTTTTAAAGTATTTTTTTTTAGTTATAGATGGACACAATATTTTATTTTTATGTGGAGCTGAGGATCAAACCTAGTGCCTGGGGCTGGGGATGTGGCTCAAGCGGTAGCACGCTCACCTGGGTTCGATCCTCAGCACCACATACAAACAAAGATGTTGTGTCAGCCAAAAACTAAAAAATAAATATCAAAAAATTCTCTCTCTCTCTCTCTCTCTCTCTCTCTCTCTCTCTTAAAAAAAAAAAAAAAAAAAAAAAAAAACCCCAGTGCCTCACACATTCGAGGCAAGCACTCTTCCTCTGAGCCACAATCCCAGCCCCAGATGAGGGTATTTTATAATGACAATTTTGAAAACAGTGACCGTATTGAATTGATAAAAAAAATAAGGGATAATTGCATGTTCTGGAATATAAAAATGAAATGATGAAGCAAATTTAAAATTATTTCATAATCTGTATTTTAATGCTTGTCACTTTCTTAATTTAGATCTAATACAGTACATAAATGAAACAAATATGAGTGTTGTACATCTGGCTAATATTCTTTCTGAGAAAACTAGGAGCAACAGCTGGGTGGTGGTGTTCAAAGCCTTGATTACCGTGCATCATCTCATGGTATATGGGAAAGAGGTGAGCATGGTGAATGTACCAACAATGTCAGTTGTTTCCTTCTCTTTAGTACAAAAGAGTATAAGCAAAAATTGTGGAATATTGTTAGTTTGTAAAGGACTTACTAAGTTTAACTTTCATAAGTGACTAGTGGCATAAATGAATATTAGTAGGTATTATATTTTTTTGCTTTCGTTAATGATTATTTTTAAAATTACTATCCTGGTGAATCTGGATAATAAAGTAAACAATAGAATGGATATGTAAATAAGTCTTTAGAGATTTTATACTAAACCCCCCCAACAAATGTATTACTCCATACCTACTTTAAGGGAGATTGCATACAAGTATGTTACATAATCACTGTTCACCTCATCCCATACACACACTCTTTGTATTTCACAAAAAACTAAAATGCTCTATAACATTAAATAACTTATTTTGTATTTTAATTTTACATTTTGTCTTAGTAACCCTTCCATTCAAAATTACTGTTTATTGGGGCTGGGGATGTGGCTCAAGAGGTAGCACGCTCGCCTGGCATGCGTGCGGCCCGGGTTCGATCCTCAGCACCACATACCAACAAAGATGTTGTGTCC